ATGGCGATATGTATATAAATATTCAATTTTATTTTGACATGCAATTTAATACTCATTCAGGTGTACAAAATTTTTATTATGTTTCATACGATCTTTATAATGTAATAGAAAATTAATTTCCACTGAAATATCAACACGCTTGTCAATGCTTAAGTTTACTTTTACTTCTCCAATGAAAAATAATAAAACACATCTGCTTTCAACAAATTTATGAGTAAGTCTTTGTACAATATATAGCTGAAAGTAAATAGCATTACTTTATTGAAAATACATCAACAATTGAATGTTTGATAAGTTTCCTTAAAATCCCCATCCAAAAGTTGTCCCACTTTTTCATTTTGCATCTGTTTTGATGCCAATCAGATCTTTTATTGCGTCTTCGTTTTTTAAATAAATAAAAAGAATTAAACTAAATATACTACTCTTCTTAATATCAAAGTTTGAAACCTCTACATTAAGATAATGTTCCTCGATTTTAGGTTTGACGCACCTTCACCACTGTAACTTTTTAAATGTGAGGCCATGTTTGTCATATTGAAAACTGCCAACTTTGACGAAATGCATGGTCTTCGTAAAATTTTCTTTGGTGATCCCGTTTGCAGCCGAATGAAGCTTGATCCTTCCTCTTTAATTAAGAAAAAGAAACGTGGTTGCGATTTTTTTCACAAAATTACAGCATTTGAATTTAACTCTTGCATTTTTTTCATGTACCACCGGCATTGATGTTACTTGATGTGCATCACGAATAGATTGCCGATCCTGCAGAAAGTCATTTGATTTGTACAAGGTTTGTGACTGGTCTTGAAAATTGATACATTATTGTGTCAAATTTCTTAACCTGCGAGTTATGCTACGATTACACAAATTTGTAGGTGAAGAAGCCGGTCCAATCGTATATATATATACAGTGGCGACCACATATACTTACGAACACTTGAAAAACGGAATATAGTCATGCCTCACTTTCGACAAAAATGAGGTATTGCATGAAAAGTAAAAACGTTAGAAAGTTCTAATCAGTGTTAAAAGATAGAGAAGAGTTTCCGAAATATAGTGGCATACAATTTATTAATTGTTTTCGGTCCTAAATAACTATGAATTAATGTCAAAGTTTAAAAAAGTGTCGACGTGCGCAGAATACTTTCGTTACCAACTCCAAATACTCTGGTGTGATCTTTTTCGTGAAATATATCACAGTTTGGTGATTATTATCCACAGAAATATGTAAAAAAAAAACAAAATTGAAGAAATAAAAAAAATTCAAATATTATTTACGAAAAGTGGGTGCCCCATTGGATCCCTCCATCGGTGTTGATTACGCATAGCTTCGGCGAGTATGGGGACTGCCCCGCATACCACCTTCCCCTGGTCTAGAAACCTAGCGCATGGCAGAATATCTTCGTGACAACTGTTCATATCAACTAAGATAGACGTGCCAATATTCAAGTGAGCAGTTCGGGAGTTGGATATTTCGATTCCGAAAAGTCTAAGCTGAGTTGCTTCGGTTGTAGAAATGACCATTTTTTTTATTATCCTTGAGATATTTACAATATTCGACAAGCGTTGCTGCTGTAACTGCCGCGCCGCTCACGAGTATTATCGACTAACTATAGTCACCGACAAACTCTAGTAGTGAAAAAAGTCGGAACCTCGAGGTGGTGTTTCAGATCCACTAGTCGTATGTCTTAATTAAGTAAGTAATCAACTGTAAATACACTCCACTGCCATTGTACGTGCCTTATCATGGTTGCTTCGGTTGTGAATTTTCGATTCGAGCTCTAAATCTCTCAATATTTACGAAAAACTGTTAGTGGCGGCCATCTTGTAACATCATGCTCGTGAGATTGACACCACTCTGGCCGAATATTGCAAATATCTCCTCAATAACTGCAAAACAGATATTTCTACAACCGAAGCCCCCGAGTTTAGTCTTTTGGGAATCTAAATTTTCCACTTGCGAACTGCACACTTCGATATTAAAGCGTCAGTTTTGATGGAAGTAAACCTCTGCAAACTAATATACGTATATGGTTTTTCTTCTATGTGTGGATCGTCATAGTGCGCGTTTTTCCGCCGCCATGATCATGAAGCAGGTAAAGAAATCTGATTGCTTGATATGTACTTCACACTAAACAGTGCTGCTCTCGCGGTTCTAGACAAAGAGAAGTGGCAAGTGAGTACGATATCAGCACTTTTTTCAGGAGGAGGGGAATGCATTACGCACGCCGCCCTAAGATGTTAGTGGGCGGGAGTGTGGGACTCCTTGGATGAGTAGTGCAGATCCAGGTATGCCATTAAACTCCTCCTCGGGCATCAGCCCTCAAAGCTCATTTAGTCCCCTCCGCGGTGTCCCCTTTCGGGATTCCTGCACGGAGGGTCAGAGTACGATATCAGCACAACCATAAGTAAAACAAGTCATACCGACGACTAATGTAGCTTGTCACACTTTACCGTGCTTGCGTTCTTACTCTTTTCGCGCATCCATATGCCTGGTGCCCCATCTGTAACACGTGGCGCGATATTTGACTTGCACTTTTCGCCCCATAGGATTCTCGTCCAGCGTATTTGCAAACGACTTGAAACAACGATCATTTCTACAATTATTACAATTTTCGCAAAACCGCAAGCTACATTTTAGTAATGAAATGCTTTGTTTGAGACAGGTTATGCACCGGATTTTGATTGATCCGAGTTTCGTAGCATGATAAAAAAGACAAAAGTCTAAATGGATATTAATATTAAATTGGACGAACCTTTTGACGAATGAAGTGAAGTGATGCTTGTGTGAAACTAGTGATTGATCTTTTAAAAGACATTGACACAATTTATACATTATTATACACACAATTATACATTAAAGTCATTGACACAATTGCCAATTAATATGAAACCAACAGATAGAAATTCATCTTCCATAAAAGCATTATTGAAGTCTATGAAGGCCACGTCAGAACAATTGAGCTCATAATTTCATCTTAACAGCAAATGTACTTTTACTTTAGTAAATAATATGCATGTACATATCAAAGAATTATTCTCTGCAATACACATATACTCTATACAACAATAATAAATACTGTAATTTCTTCTTGACATAACTCTTTTTATTGTGTTAGATGTAAGTAATACAATATAAAGACTGTAATACAAATAATAATTATAAATCTTTTCGCTCCGCTTTAATTCTTATGTTCCTATTGGTACATTATATTTAAGTTAATTATAAGTACGACATCTGATACAAAACTTTTGAAAACTTAATTGCAATCTTTGAAATGTTCTAAACTTTGTTTTATAAATAAAGTAATGCAGAACAAAACGGGGGAGTTTTTGTTTAGATTCTTAGTTAATACAGTCGTTTAGTCTAATATTTATATTAAATCCGCTACATTCATCGGCATCTCGTCAATTTGTGTGGAATAATATTGTTCGATGTCTCGCAGTATCCTAATGTCGTCAGTTTTAACAAAATTTATAGAAACACCCTTTCTACCAAAACGACCTGACCGACCTATTCTGTGAATGTATAACTCACGATTGTTGGGTAAGTCATAATTGATTACAAGGGATACTTGTTGTACATCTATTCCTCTTGCCCAGACATCAGTTGTTATTAGTACACGACTATAAAATTAAAAAATATTGTAAATATCATACATTTTATTTATAGTAATGTACGTTTAATGAACATACCTTTGACCAGATCTGAACTCTTTCATAATGTTGTCCCTTTCTTTCTGAGGCATGTCACCATGCATTGAGCAGACTGTAAAATTAGCTTCTCTCATTTTTTCTGTCAACCAATCTACTTTACGCTTGGTGTTGCAAAAAATTACAGCCTGTGTTATTGTCAGTGTATCATACAAATCACATAACGTATCAAATTTCCATTCTTCTCTTTCTACAGCAACAAAGAACTGCTTTATTCCTTCCAATGTCAATTCATCGCTGCAATTAATCATGAATTATT